AAAGTAATTTGTAGTTTTTGAAAACTCATCAGGAGTTTCGATGCTATCATCATAAATAGTACTGATAACAAACTCATTTTGAATCTTTTCACAAATGAACAAGTTGGAATATGTTTATATCATTCCTTCGGTCGATATTAACCACATATGCCTCGTACAGAGACTTAATTGAATAATGTTCTTGAGAACATAATTGTATGCTTCTACAAACTCAAATCTTTCAAGGATTTTCATAAATTATGATCCAGATCTATTCATGTATTGGATCGTTTGAATTTATACAAGGATTTGAATCCTTCTAGGATTCACATATAATTTCACTATAAAATAAGTCATACATTATAGTTATATATTTCTAAGACGCACATGAAAAAAAAAATTCATTTATTACTAGGCGGCCAGATTGATAAGACATATAATTTAATCCATCACAAGGTTTTATTTCTCTTTATATTGTACAAATGCCTACTTACATAATACTAGCATTATAATTCAAGTGCATAAGCTAGGGATACACAAATCCTTGTTATATTGTGTTTTTTTTTTCCCTGTTGGCCAACCATTTTTCTATCTGTATGTTATGATAGATTTATAAATAAGAGCCTCATTTAATCACATGATATCATCAATAAAATTATTGTCAATAATTTTATTCCTTTATCAATCCCCTTTTTTTTATGATATAACATATCGATATCTCTTTATTGCTTTCATACACTTAAACTTCTTCAAGAGTCAAACAGTTATGTCTTAATCTCGTTTGCAATTTATGCCTCCTTAGTATGATTATCATAATCATTTTCTCCTTTTTCTTTTCTTTTGGAACCGATCATATTCTCATGCTTTTAGCATGTCTTAAAAATAGGAGCATTTTTAGCTGGGATATAAAAATTAAGAATTCTCATTTGGGTCGGTAATTGCATTCGACAGATATTAGTAATGTTTTACAAATGCAATACTTTATGAACTTCTAGTTCATATTACTATATTTGAGGATCTACATTTGATAGTGAATGCATTCAATGTGTTTTCTTTTCCAACTACACATTTTCTTCCCCTCATATTGGGAACATGTAATGTAAGTCTCTGAAATTTATAAATCTCCTTTGAAAACATTATTTTATTTCATTCAGAGACAAACAAGAATAAGGAGATTCTTATCCAATAGTGATCCCAACTTACTTTTAATAGCCATCTATGTGTATTATTACGGTGGAATAATAGATATTGCACATTTTAAGATGAAAAATATTAGGCTCCTAACCAAAAGCCAATTATAATGGGAGAATTCACAATACATTATTGATTTAATGCATTTATATGCAAAAATATATAAAATTAATCATCCCAATACTCAAATGAAAATTCTGTTCTCATAATTGGTTGAAGTGGGGGGATAAAAATAGTGCCTTTTTTTTCCTATAATACAGCCACTATAAGAAGAAGGTTAAATCGAATAGAATGCCTCCAAAATTCTAAAGGAGATTGGATTGAGGATTAAGAAGCCTTGAAAACTTTGGCTAGTGACTACTACTAAAAACTATTTACAACTAAAACAGTGGGACGGGTCCTTGCTCATAAAAATCATAATTTTTTCAGGCTCTCTTAAGCACAGTTGGCAAAGCTAGCAAAAGAAGTGACTTGTGAAGAAATAAAAGAGACAATATTCTAGATGGTATACAAGCCATTTTCTATCAAGAACATTGGAATTTGATTGGGGAATCAATGTGTGCTATGGTGAAGGAGGTGTTTAATTGTCCAGCAAAGATTAAGAGTCTAACTAACACCAATTTGGTCCTCATACCAAAACAAGAAAGACTTAAAACAATAAAAGACTTTTTGCCAATTTCATTTTGCAATGTAAGCTACAAAGTGGTAACAAAAGTAGTTAGTGGAAGACTCAGAGAGTTGCTGGGATATGTTATTGGAAACCATAAACGTAGTTTTATTGCAGGCTGTCAGAGTAGGTGATGGCACAAGAGGTGATTCCATCTATGAAAAACAAGAAAGCGCTAATGGGCTAGTCGGCAATGAATATAGACTTGGAAAAAGCTTATGACCAACTGGAATGGACCGTTATTGAAGATACTCTCAAAGAGTTGGGTCTAGATAGGAAAATGTGTGAACTTATTCTGGCCTGTATTAATACTCCTTTCCACGTCCTATGGAATGGCCAAAAAACAGAAACTTTTCTATCATCCAGGGGTATACGGCAAGGAGATCCCATGTCACTATATATTTTTACCTTATGTATGGAAAGGCTGAATCACTTGATAAAAGATGCTATTGATGAAGGAGATTGAGTATTGATAAAGCTGAATCTTAGAGGACCTGGATTATCCCATCTCTTTTTTGTTGATGATTTGATTTTGTTTGGGAAAGCAAGCATTACTTTGGTAGATATAATATTGAAATGTGTCAATTCCTTTTATGAGGCCTCAAGATAAAAGATGAACAAAAGTAGAACTAAGATATGCTTCTAAAAAAATGTTCACTTTTTAAGAGCTATTGAAATGAGCAGCTGAATGGGAGTGGGTCTGACAGGTAATCTTGGAAAGTACTTAGGGATCCCCTTGTTCCATGAGAGGGTCTCTCATAAGACTTTTGAGGCTATTTTGAAGAAAGTACAGAAGCAAGTGGAGGGCTAGAAAAAAGAAAGAACTTTAAACATGGCAGGCAGGGCGACCATGATTAAATCAGTTCTATCAAGCCTTCCAACCTACTGTATGGAGATAAACCTCTTCCCAAATAGATAATTAATGATCTGGAGAAAAAAAGTAGGAGTTTGCTGTGGGATGCCAATGAAGAGGGGAAGAAATTACACCTTATATCCTAGAATGTGGTGAAACAATAGAAGAATGATGGAGGATTGGGAATTAGAAAGCTAAGAGAACAAAATGAGGCCTTCATTATGAAATTGTGCTGGAACTTGATTTGTAATCGTAGTGCTCTTTTGGGTTCAAATGTTGAGATCGAAGTATAAATGCGGGGAGCATGATATGCCAGGGTGAAAAACACTTTATGGCTTCTCGAACGTGGAGAGGAATGTGAAGTATGGAGGAAATTAAAAAAGGGAGTTGGCAAGAAATTAGGGAACGGGAGGAACACTTTATTTTGGCATGAAAGTTGGCCGGAACTAAACAGCACCTTTCTTGTTTGTATCCTGAGCTTGAAGAGTTGTGAATGGGGAGGAAAAGTTATAGACTATGTTTAAGCTGATGGTAAATGGGATAGAGTGAAGATGAGGGCGTGGTTCCCTTAATGCCTTGTAGACCACATTACTAATGCACACCTACCCTGTGAAAGGAGAGAAGAGGACAAATTTTATTGAAAACCGTCCATTGATGGTTTCTTCATTGTTAAATTCGCTTATAAATTTCTTTTTGCAGGTACAAATCAGCAGGGGGCAAATTTATGAAAGAATATCTAGAGATTGCACTTATCAGCAAAAATTAAAATGCTTATGTGGTTATTCTCTCGTGATAAAGTGCATTACGAGAAAGCTAATAGAGCAGAGGGGAGTGAATCAAAATGCTTTGTGTCCATTTGGATGCTTGCAAGAGGAGGACTCCATGCATCTCTTAAGGGACTGCTCAAATGTAAAGGATAGATGGATTTTAGTACTCGCACAGGAACATCCATCTCTTTCTTTAACCTTCAAGGGACGGAGTGGCTAAAATGGAATCTAAAAGTTGAAGGTGGAGTCGGGCATACACACAAAGTTCCATGGGCATTCTGTTTGGTTACTTGTGCTGGGATATATGGGTATCACATTGTAACAAATTATTTAGCAATCAAGAAGTCGTCGAGCAAGGAAATGCAAACAAAAGCCTGTTCGAAGCAGCACTGGATATAGAACTGTAAAATCAATGTAGTTTTATAGAGATCACTCAGAGGAGCAGAAGAGGGAAATAAGGATTAAAGAGGGCTTTGTGAAGTTGATAACAGATGCCTCAACTTTCGAGAATGGCAACAGCAGATGTGGAGGAGTAATTAGAGACAGTGAAGATAATTGGATCTGTGGCTTCAATGTGAAGACTACAGTGGTGTCATCAGCAATTGCAGAACTCATAAGCTATATCAATGGATGTCATATTTGCTGGGTTCAGGGTTTTAAAAAGATTATTATTTTAGAAGTAGTTATTAGTTAACATGATTACAAAAAGGATCGGCACAAACCATCCCTTTTATGACCTGATTAAGGAAGCTAGATTAATCATTCATAGGGATGATAAATTTCATGCATGTAGATAGGTCTTTGATTGTTGAAGCAGACTATATGGCTAAGCTAGCCCATAATTTGATAGTTTTTGCATCATTGATCAACCTCCACTTTTTGTTCATGAGGTGGATTAGTGACGGAGGATTAGGTCTTTTCTATTTTAGTGTTGTAATTTTTTCTATTTAATGCAGAATCCAGTTCTATTCTTAAAAATAAAAGACAGCAGCCAACCTGTGAGTTAAGCGGGTTAAGCTAAAATTTGCCTCTCTTTCAATTATAACCGAGCTCTCTTTCTTCTTTGTGGTTTAAATAAGCCAACCAATGACTTTCTTATGGACAATTTTTTTCCTCTTATTTTCTTTTGGTTTTTTTAAGAGGAAATTACAATCAAATCCCACAGAAGAAAAATAATTATTAAAAGATCCAAATAACAACCTTAACAGCCTATAATTATAATTCCTATAATGAGAATGACAACTTCTAGAATTTGTTTTTCAATTGTTTTCTTTGCTTGGGACCTCATTGTAATTCTCTCTCTTTTTAATGGACTCACTTTTCTTGCCGCACAATGGCATCAATCTTGTGTATACATTGGCCTGGCAAATAACGTGATATATTCTTTTGATGCGCATGAATCAGAGAAGTTAAAGAAGCTTTTTACGAGACACAAGTCAATATTCATTTTTTTATAATCATAGTCAGTAAATATTTAAGGCAGAAGACCAAAATCTATGTCAATAACTACAGTAAGCACAATGCAATTTCACAGAACTCAGAATGGGTCATAAATCTTATGTTATCAAGCCAGAGGATCTCATTCATATATTGGTTAAAAGAACATGGACATGGATCTCAACTCTAAAGACTATCCTGAAATAACGTATGATATCAACATTTTATGTATACTTTTTTCTGGACATATAATTCTCTGTCTCTAAAGCGTGACTAAGCTATATATACTCTCCTAAAATCCCCCGTTGCTCTAAATGTGCAACTTCAGATTTCTACCTCTTCAACTCCTACAAATAGGGGGAAACACCTGCCAAGGAATTTTCCTTATGAGTCAGGTTTCAATTCCTTCCTACATATACCAAATCATTAGGCCCAACTGCCTGAGACAACTTAAAGATTTGAGTATGAGTTTAAGAAGTAATTAATTTTCCCCTTTTATTTAGTTCACCATCCCTGTGCAACATCGTCGGAAGATCTTTGGTTCCCATTCTGTACCTCGAGCAAACTTGACCTACCACTGCCAGGAGCGAACCCTACGGAGTACGCGTGGTTGCTTTTGCTTGTCAACAATGGGAACAACCCTTTCCATGAGCTGCAGAACAGTCAAACAGGTCAGTTGCAAGCCAATTAAAGGAGACTCTCAATAGCAAGCAAATGGTTTTAGAGGCAGTACAGTTGTTAATCACACAACCCTGAAAAGTAACCGCATGAACCGGTTAGGCTTTCATATTTTGTACTACAAGACAACTTGGCTGAATTATTTTGCAATTCTTTAAGTCTGCTAAAGCCATATAAGAGGCAAATAAAGTTAAACTGGTCATCCCAGGGGAGATGGCATTGCAAAAGTTCCCTAAGTTGACATCCCGTATTATAAGCACCTTTGAGACACTAAGCCAATATCTTCCAGTATAATCAGTAAAAAGTGAAAATAATGAATGAATAAAACGAAAAATTGTATGCTCAACCAAAACACGATAAATGTACAAACATCACGAACCATGTTGAACTACCAAAGACTTTAGAAGAAACCAGACACCATATTCGGTCTGTAGAAACTACCTTAGGATATTGAATCAGTGAGGGAAAAATACATCAGAAAACAGAAGAGCAAACCATTATTTCACCAAAAAGAAAAAAAAAAGAAGAGCAAACAATTACCTGCTTGTATCTTTTCTTGGTCCTCTCGGCCTGCCAAAAAAAAAAATCTCGTCAGCAGTGAAAAATAAAAAAGATGTATAACTCTTTGGTCGGAAAGATCACAGGTCTGGAAGACCACTAAACCGTAAAATAATACTGATATTTGAGGGAAAAAGGTTATTGACAAACTCAACACTGGGTATAGATTCTCATAGGTGTTTAAAAACACCATTGAGCATGTTAATTTATTATTGTCAGTACTCAGCATGTAAAATAACCTTTTCTGTTTATCTTAATCAATAATTAGACAGACCATGACTACAAAACTCCTAATAAACAAACAACACTGATCTCAAATGTCTGGTGACTTTTACCTACACAGTGCAAGACCTCCAGCGGAAACAGACCTAGCACCAAGCTTAGGAATCCATCAGCCAGCAAGATCTTGCTTACTAAGCATACTCATGTCGTCAATGTACAAGCAAATTCCATTTATGTTGAAATCACTTAGAAGAGGACTTGTCAACTCAATGACTAAACTAAAGCCTGAAACTGCAATCCCATGTGTGCAGAAACTTGGACCCAAAGGGGGACTAATATATTTCCCGGAACCATGCCTTGTGAATAAACTACTCTGATTCATAGATCCTACTGGTGCATATAGATGGGGATAAAGGAGAAAATGGGATGAAGTCCAAGAGTTCAGAGTAAATTAATCCATCAACGTATAATTATGACAGAACAAAGGGTATTAAAGAATTACTATCTTTTATACATGCCAGTGAGCACAAATTGGTTTCCCTAAAAATTTGGATTCACATAAACAACTAAAAAGTACGTGAAGATTCAGCACAAGCACATGAATGGTTTCACATAAAGCAGAACTGACTGCTAATATAATGCGATACAGAATTAAATGCTTCACCCAGGAAAAACACTGCTCAGAAAACAATTGCAAACATAGCGTGTTAACATTATCAACAATTGTGAAATGGACCACAAAGGAGCACCTTTTCCCTCATCAGCCGCTCATTTTCCTCCTCTAGTCTCACCGCTATCGACTCTAATTCAACTTGGTATGCCTGGAGTCAAATATTCAAAAACAGAACAAACAACGGTTACGTCAAATCATATATCAGAAGTCCACCAGGAAAACAAAAAAAACAAAAAAAAAAAAAAAAACACCAGCTCTCGGGCATACCTGCTTTCGTTCCCTAGACCTTGCTGCGGATTCTCTGTTTTTAATCATCCTCCTTTGCCTCTGCAAAGCAGCCTTATCCAACGGCTCCAAAACAAGACGCGCTCTCTTATTCCTCTCTCCTCCACCACCATCCATCTCCACTCCATTACCGAACCCGACTACCGACCCTTCAACTTTATCCAATGACTGGAACGTGGTTGCGTTAATAGAATCAAACGTAAAAACACCCCCACTCATCCGCTCGGTGGGGGCCACAGGTATCTTCACATCATCATCATCGTCCACAGCCCCGGCCTTGGCCAGAAAATCCTCTAGAGTCATCATTTCATCCAGTGCCTCCTCCTTGCACTCCTTCCTTTCACCAGAGATCATATCCTTCCAAACATCATCCATGGTTTTCGAAGCATTCAGTGACCCACCGCCGTCATTGCCGTCGGTGGAGGTCGCGGCGGGGGCGGCATTGGCCGGCGTCTCCATTAAAGTGATTTGGGCATCTAGGAGAGTAGACTCCGTGGGAGGCCCAGACTCGTAAGCATCGCGAAGAATGCTGTCGACGGTCATCGAGCCCGAATTTCCTCTGTTAGCATTCTCACCAGCGACTGCGGATACGGATTGGGGTCTGGTAGAAGTAGAAGCAGCAGCAGAAGAAGATCGGCGCAATAGATCCGATTTTCTTGAATTTGACGACGCCATCAAATTCTGGTCTGCTATCTCTTCCCCAAGAGACCGGCTTTCAGTGAGCAAGCCCTTCGACTTTCAGGGCTTTCTCTCTCTAGGGTTTGGGGCTTTGGGAATTCGTCGTCCGTTGGAATCGGAGCTCGGAGGGGAATCGGGGTCGAGGGAGTGCAGCCACTAGTGAAACCGGGAGTGACCGGTAGACCAAGGAATTTGAGAGCAGAAGGCGAGATAAGAGACAAGGGAGCAACCGGTTCCCAGTTGAAGGCAAGTTTCAGTTTGTTACTTTAGGGGTGTTTAGTTGAAACCTAACTATAATTTGAAAAATAGTTTTTAAAGAATAGATTCTTGAAAAAATAAATTTTATAAAGAATATATTTTATGAAAAAGTGATTTTGATAAAGTGAGAGTATTTGGTTAGTTGTTATCAGAAGAACTTTTTATATGTGTAAATTACTAAAAGAAAGCATAAGTTAATATGATAATTACATAAAAGATAGATTTTATAACATATTTTAATTTGAAAGAATAAAATTATTAATAATATATTTTTTACCAACATAATTAATAATATATAAGATAATGTAATTAATAAATAATTAATATGTGTATATATATTTATAAAATATAAGATTAAATATATTTATAAAAATAATTGAGGGGTGTTAAAGTCATATTATCGTTGAGATCTAATCTGATAGGCACAATCATATTTCCCAATTTGAGTCAGAAGCAAAATGGATTCACTTCTTCTGAAAACCATGATTTTGAGTCCAAAACCATGGTTTTGGTCCAAAGTTTAGGTTCCAAAACTATGGTTTCATCATATTGCCAAACAAGCCCTTTGTTTCGCATGTTTGTCTATCCAATCGTGCCCCAGTAATTAACCTTATGTTTGGAAAGGAGGGAGAAAATTTTAATAAATTTGTAGTGAAAAACACACAAGTTTGAATAATGTGAAACACATTTATTATGAGTATTATTCCTTAACAATTTCAGGCTCGAAAAGAATTAATTTCAAATCCTATATAACTTGTGAATACCCTTATTTCATCTAAAAAATTAATTTAAAGTTTTAACCCAATTTTTTTAATTTTTTTAAAACAAACTCATTAAAATTTTTCTTCCCCTTCCCTTTCCTCATACCAAATGGACCTTGACTAATAGCAACTGAGATGATTTTTTCATATTAATAATTAAAAAATTAGGAAAATGACAAAAAAATTTAAAATTCAAGAGATTTTTTTATCATTTTCCTAAAAAAAATTACATAGAAAACTATGTAACAAAAATTAATAGACGGGAATATTTTGCAGGTAAATATACGTATCTTAGATATTGTAGGTAGACCAAAGAAAGCAAGCTGGAAGTGCGGTTATAGGCTAGCTTGTGACGATGTGGGTTAAAAGCAATGCGGGCTAAGGGAGCCCCACCTTGCCGGCATGCTTTTCCAAAAAAACAAGGGGGGAAAAAACAAAAGCGGATGTTTACAAGGGAGGCGGATGGATTGGAATTGTTTTCCACTTCTACCATTTCTTATTGTTATCTCCAACAAATTTATTTATTCCAAACAAATTCTTTCTTTCTTTCTTGCCAGCCTCCGTAAACCATAATGATCCCATCCCTTTCAATTCTTTTTCTTTTACTTATTTTACTTGTACTCTGGTGCATATGCAAATAAATAAACTTTCAATTCCATGTTGAACTCATACTCTGCAACCTCGTTGGTTTTCTTTTTCAGTTTTTAATTATTGTTAATCATGTTTTGCATTTGATGGGATTTGAGAATCTAATTGAAAAGAGTATGTAAATGTAATTTATTATTTGATGAATGGTTAATCAATTTATTACTTATAGTCTTGGACTTGGATAGTGAATTAGTGAGTTTGGATAAGATAATGTAATGTGAGAATTAATTTTGTTTATAAAAAAAAAAAAAAAGACTAGCCTGTGACATAACAGGTTCAAAGAGGTGTGGGCTGAAATAACCTGCACCTTAACAGGTTGGCAAAAACCCATCATTTTTGGCTAGTTGAAACCCCCATACTCATCCTGTATTGCTAACTCTGTTTGTAGGTAAATATTTTGCAAGGTATTGAAACACAACCTTCATTAGCTAATTAGGCTAGTGAGTTTTATCGCAAGCCAGGTCAAGAGTTTTAAATAGATCGATTATATTAGTTTTTTTTGTTTTTGCATTTTTTTTATTGAGCCCGAAATGATATTGTTTTGAATTTTAAAAGAGAAAAAGCAATCCACCATATTTACTCTAATAACAAATATTTTTATTGAATTATGTAGCCATAATTATAAATTAATTTTCTGGGTCATATATAAATAATTTTATATATTTTAATTAAATTATATTTTTTAATTATGATTGGGTTGACCCATAATTAAATTATTGGCTATTGAGCTATTCTTTTTTACTGATTTAGTAACCAACAAGTTTCATATGATAAGAAGTTCATAAACTTTAAATTATATAATGATATTCGAAATTTTTGTAATAAAATAATTTTGATTTTCAATGCCTAGTGTTTTGGTAAAAATTAAATCAATATAAAAAGACCTAAATATCCCTGCTTCTAGACACTGTCATGGAGAACTATAGAAATATGGTGAGGTAAATGGGTAGGGTCTAGATTTTCACATACATTCCCTGACATTCTATAAAGTTTTGGATGGAATGAAAACAAGAAAAGTTATTATTATTGGAATGCAAGGAAAGAATTGTTGTTCAATTGGAGCCATTTGCAATAGTTAGAATCTCATATCTTGAAACTAGCTGCTCAAAAAAATGTTAGGAAAATAAATCCTTATAATTTGATATGATTTTTAATTATGTCTATATAGGTTTTCCCCTTTTTATTGTATCTTTTATAGTTTCCTCAATTTTAGCCAGTAATTCCTATATTTATAATATGTATGTTAATTAGAGCCCATGTCATATTGATTAAGTGACATGTAAGTTGTCATAAAATACAAAATAAAAAAACTAATAAAAATAAAGTAATTGAATAAAATATATTTATTATTAACGAAACAATAAGAATTATGCTAATAATACTCTCCTTGCATCTATATATAATCAGTAATATGATTCATTTTGATTTTATTTAGATCCATGTGGCAAAATTAATCTAGATGTATGCTAAGTGTGAGTTACATCAACTACATAATAAAAGTTGTTTTTCTTACAAATTAACAAATTATGAGTATAAGAAATAATATCTATAATTGCGAAAATTATAGGAATTCAATAAAGGGGAAAAAATTATATGGACCTCTTTAAAAATCATATGAAATTATAAGGAATTATGGATTAATTCTTCTTATAAAAATAGTCATGTGTGTTATAATTAATGTGCAGTAGGTAAATATTATTTAATAAAATATGACAAGTAAATACTTGATAGGATCCAATCCCCCTACTAGTTAATCTTTTTGGTGCTAGGCCCTCTGTTGTACAAAAAAAAAAAAAACCTAGAATGACTATTTTTGATTAAGGCCTGACTAATAGATCAAATGACACTAAGCACCTTCCACTAAGCAGTATTTGCATCTGTGAAGATTGTCCTTTGCTGTTTTGTTGATTTCTTCAAAAACAAAAACGAACATCATGATGTCCAAAGAAGTCAACAAACCAAACTAAACTCTCTTGTCCAAAGAACCTTGCACACCCACAATAAAATCATAAGCAGTGGATCTACACACCAAGGTATTGTTTGGTACCAGGAAAATAAAAAAGAGGAGAGGGAAGAAAAAATTTTAATGAGTTCCATTTAAAAGATTAGGGAAGTGGGGTTTTAAAATTTTAATAAAAAGAACAAGTAATAGAAAAGAGTAATAAAAACTAATTAAAAGTTTTTAATCTCACTTATCCATATTTTTAAATTGAACTCATTAAAATTTTTTCTCACCTCGTCTCCTTTTTATTTTCTTCATACCAAATGAACCCTAAATTTTCCATCCTTGAGGCCACCAATAATAATAATAATAATAATAATAATAATAATAATAATAATAATAATCCATATTGCTAGTTGGAGCTCTAGCTTTTAAGGCATATTAATTAGCTGTGTTTTATAAAGGGCAAGGGGAAAAAAAACCATTCAAGGCAATGTTGTAGGATGTCTAAGCTCTAAGGAAGATTATACTCCTCTAATCCTTAATATATGACCTAATTATTGAGTTGATTTCGGTTCTAAATATAAGACCCATTTCTCATATTTATTAATTTTTTCTAAATTACCCTTATGGATACTCCCTCAACCATAATCAAGTAGAAGAGGGAGAGAAGATATTAAGGAAGATAATTCTGGTGTTTTAGAAAAAAAAAACATGTCATATTTTTTATAACTAACTAACTTGCTTAACTTCTTTAATTTAATCAAATTAGTTAAATAAATTTTATATTAAGGACAGAAGAAGTATATAAGAGGCTAGCTATGAAGTGACAAGGACGGATTGGCTTAAAGATACATACACAGTTGCTCAAATTAATCCGTCAACATCTATAGTTTTATCAAATTTTGAATCAGATTTCTATATATGTGCTTCTTTTTGTTAGAGCCTTGTAGTTTACTATATATGTCAAAGATGTCAGTCTCCTTTCATTAATAAGCTAATTTTATAACAATGTCGTAATTTCATCATAAGGTGTGCTCTTTATTTTATGCCGCAGGTAGGAGGAAGAGATGAAAGAGAACCATTGGAATGGGATTGATCAATTAGCATATATACTCCTCTATAACTCAGTAAATTATGAGGATCCAATAAACTTGATTCAAATCTGGTCAAACAAAATTCATTCAAAATCTAATAAAACTATAATAATTGACAGATTACTTTTCCCATCTAAATATCTTCATATCTCTTCTTCGATTCGATATCTAGGGACTTTAGATATACACTTTTAGCATTTAATTAATTTTTTTTTGTGGAATTCTTTTAGTTATGAATTTTTGCTCTAATTTAATTTTTTCGATTTAGCATCATCATCTTGTTACGTGATTCTCCATTGTCTGATGTTGATTATAAACAATAGACAATTAAGTTTGTGAACAACTGGGGGA